GTAGTACGTAGGTAGTAGTTTGTAGTTAGTAGCAGCATGAGGAGCAGTAGCAGTGGCAGTAGCTGTGACCAGCAGCAGAAAGCCGCAATGGCAGTAGCAGCAGCTGTTGTCTACATCATTTGCAGCGGCAGTCATCTAGGTTCCGTTTAACAGTCATATGAATCACATTAGCTACTTGTCGTCAGGGAATGGCTTGACAGTATTGACAATCAAAGCTAGAAGCAAAAATGAGAGCATTGGTACAAGGTTGAAGTCATGTAATAGAGGCGTGAATGCTACAGAAAAGCAGGAAAGTATTGTGCTGTGTACGATCGCCCTACAAAGCCCAGGAGTCCTTCATCAGACGTTTCCGCAGCGCCAAGGAGGATCTGGCCTCTTAAGGGAGCCAAGGGTTGTGTCCCTTCGTTTTGCACTAGCCTTTTCAAGGCTGGGGATGCTTGAGTTTTAGAAATGCTCGGAGCGGCATTCCCCGCTTGTGAGGCAGCTGAGAGAAGGCTATGATTTTAAGCTGCGTATGACATAAGGCTGATTTCGGGGCGACATGCATCTCTTGCGTCCTGCCAGCCTGCTAGCTAAACGAGTAGATAATGCCTGCACTCGAAGCTGCTTTCCATGTTGGCAGTCATGGCCGAATGGCAGATACATAGGACAGTTTTTAAAACTTTGCACTCATCTACAGCTACAAACACTCGCCGTACAGAGAGTGAACAAAGTTTGACGCACCTCCAAAAGCAGCCCAACACTCAGCCCGGAGAGAACACAATGATCCCATGGGTGTTTTGTGCAAACTCAATCAAGAAGCCTTAACTTTCAAAGGTGACATCTTTTTCCCAGTGCAGTTTGAGTTCAAGCTGTAGCGCCTTATCCTGGATTGGCGTACTCACACCGCCCTGGCTTTGAAGATTGAAGTTATGACATTCTGCCTTTCACATGCTACTGCATACAGGATCTGACGACGGCTGCGCCAGAAACATCAGAGGTGCCTTGCACGTTTCATGGTATGGTGAGCTGACGCGCTTCTTGAAAGGAGTTAGGTGGAACTTGTATCTTGGGCAACATGTGAACAGAAGTAGTCTCTTCCATGGATCGCGGCAGGCTTGCGTAGATTGATGACTTTGCAAAAAGCAAATATCATGGCTCTGAGACCATTTTAGCGTCGGAGAGAGGAACTTATAGGAGAGGCTTCCTCCGAGTCTCTGCTCTGCAGTAGGGTGAGCATACGGTTTAAGGCTGTTAGAGTCAGCTTGGGGCCCATCTGGCTTGCATGATAGAGTGCCTCAGTAGTAGAATGCTCTAAATCTTGCTACCAAAGTATCGGCAGCTTCACCAAGGGGGGGCTTCGGCGTGCAGAAAGAGCTTTTCATGCGGGCACGTACAGTGTTTCTTTGCCTCACCAGAATGGACTAGAGCCGCAAATAGCTGGCTGCTTCTTTGCAAGTCATAAGTTACTCTTGCCTTAGTACGTACGGGCGAGGGTCGGCTATCAATGTGCATGTCTGTTGTTACAGCAAGTCTCGGAATCAAGGAATCAAGTACTCTCCTTGCACACAGCGATTCAGAACTCTCGGGCTTGAACCGATATGGTGCCTCTCAACTTGTATGTTCAATCTGAGACCCCCACCATGTTATTTCAATGCCAAAGCTCAGGCTGCCCTAAGTCTTTATGAATTGGATTCAAGCCGCCCCCTGCATCCACTTGCCAATTATGCCAGCAAGTGATGTCGCTGCACCAGCTGGCCAACTCGGTGAATGTCTCGGCTACGCGCCCGGGTCAAGTAGCTCCAAGCCACTTCTGCCAAGCGTGGCTTCAGAGTCCAAGTTCGTGAAAATTCTTCTGTCCTGCTAGGGAGATAGCTGGGCCAGGCGCGAATTTCATGAAAGAAACCTTCTAGTGGCTCTAACAAGTGTGAGTTCTATCTGCAGCCTCGAGCCACCACGGAGAAGCTGCTGCTGAGTTTGATGATGCGAGACTCATCAAAGCGGCCTTCGATTTGCATGCCCGGTCCTTGGTTTGCAGGCTGGGGTTGGAGGGCCCCCACAAAGGCTGAAAGGTAGGTGTGCTGCCGGGTTTGTAGATGGAGTGCTGTCTTTGGCCTCGGTTCCAGTACAGCAATTACGACCTGACTGCATGACATGATTGACTTCTCCTAGCTGCACGCTCGCCTGCTGCTGGCCCGACCTGGTCTTGTGCATGGTTCAGTGACTATGTATTTCTCGGGTGTCCCCGGTGCAGATGCTCTTGATTCTGCTTTTGCAATACAAAGTGCAGTATTTGAGTGACTAAGCCTCAGCTTCCAGCTTGGAGGTGTCTTGTGCTCGGCTTTGGAGAGGGCTATTGCGTACAAAGTGCCAGCTTAACAATGCAGAACACAAGGCCAAAATGTCCGACGGCTATGGAGGTATTGCATCTCACCGCCCTTGGACTTGTATGCCAAACGTATCTCAAGTTACGGGATGCGTACCCTGTACCTACGGCACTACGAACAGCGACAGGAGCAATCCTCTTCAGCAGGGGTGATCAAAGAATGCCTGTAAGAATCAGACATGCCTAGCTGACCTGCGGCATGCAGCAGGATTCCGGGAAGGGCCTCCTCGAATACGAGGACTTTGTGAAGGCATTGAAGCCTGGAATTGATCTAACAGTTTTTCATGGGCCTGTGAACTGGCAAGTGCACCTGATGTGTCGACAGCAGGAGATGTCATGCTGTGTTCTACGACAGTACTACGACATTGCACATTATTACTCAAACATGCGTCCTTGTGTACGGCCAGACTGTTCTGCATCTGCACCGGACGCTCAACAGCTCCTGCACCGTCCGGGCACTCGGAAGTTTGGCAAGTGCCGCCAGCTGAAGTGGTTCGGAGTTTTGTATGTCTGTTATTGGAACTGGTGAGATACTGGGAACAGGATGGCCGGGCTGGGCATGCAATTGTGAGTCAGGCCACAACACTGGCGCAGTGCGAGTCGTTGTGTGCATCAACATTTCCTGGTGGTGGCGCTCTGCTCAGTGGCTGCAAACCTGCAGCTTCCCAGAAGCTTGTATCATGCCACCGCGCAATCGCATGCGAAGGATTAGATGGAACGGTGGATCTACTGAAGCTCCTCCAGTGGTGCTCTCCTCAGATTTCGTACGATGCTTAACAGCTTCAAGCAGAGCTTGTTTTTCAGCAAGGTATGCAACCTACAGCTTCCAAGAGGAGCTGATCCTGTCCAATGACATGAGGCTGGTGTTTGAAGCTGCTTTTGTATCAACATCCGCATCACAACACATTGTGGAAACAGGTGCCTCATATTTGCTTCACAGGACCCTTCGACGGCTCAGCCGTCAGTATGGTGTTCCCTGGGAGGAGGTGGACAACGTCAAACGCTGGGGGCCAAGATGCTGAGAGGGAACGTGGTGAGCCCGTGTAGTTGGTGAGTCACTGCCGCAGTCTCAATTCAAGCCCAATACTAACCAAAAGATTTCAACCCCGTTGGCAGCCTTACTCATCCTCATGTTCGGGCTTCTGCGAAACAACCAGTCTTGGCATCAGCCAAGTTGGCCAAACACCGGACGAGCGAGGAAGTTACGGTTTCAGAATACCCGCATTAATTTGAAAGTTGATAGCGAAATGAAACCATGTGTTTAAGAATCCAACCAACGTGTAAACGGGTAAACAAAAAGCTCAACGCCAGCAGCACGCACTGTGTCTGCCACCCAGTGATTGGGATACTTGGGAACGGGGTCAGCTTAGTCTGTTCTTACAATGATGATTCACCGCAGCAGTGCTGCAGTAAGCCAGGCGCTAGTTAATATTAGTATTTTTAGTCTTATTACTACTATATACGATTGTTTTTACTATTACTACAATTGTCACGGTGTTTTGCTACGTCACAGGTCAGTTCGACGCTGTCGATGAGGATCAATCGGGTGACATCAGTATGGAGGAGTGGTGGGCGTGCGCATGCATGTATGTGCTGCGAGTCGGAAAGCCCACGTTAGCAGTACGTATCAAGCCTAGTCGGCTACTGTGTGAGTCCGTACGGTTTGAATGAACCTTCAACCATGTGTACTGAGTCACATCCCGTCCCTACAACTCTCTCAAACATCTTTTCTTTGCAGAAAGAGAGTTTTCATCCAAGAGCCAGGTTCAAAATCACCGGTGTTGTTAGAGCGCAAAGGTGGTTGTGCAAGAAGTGGAAAGATTTCAAAACCTTTGCAAAACAAGATACCCCAGATCAATACCTCAACCTGCAAAACGATACGGGGCACTCTGCATGAACTCCCTGCCAACGAATAATAGTGACGACAGCTTAAAGACTTCAGCAGATCTGACAATAGGACTTTATAGATTTATCCGTCCTATTTGGTGTGACGTATCACAATTGTGCGAGTTGCCAACATCGTCATGAATTCTGCAGAGTTAAGCGCAGTCTGGACTGATGAATGTTGAGGTTTCACTGGAGATTGAATATGGCCAACTTACAAAGCAGCAGGCGTTGCTCCCACAGCTTTGCCAGGAGTTCAGTGAAGTCCTGCGTCGGGTTCTTCAGGCCCCTGAACTGATGTACGCTGTGCAGAGGCTTGCTCTTTGATAGCATGCGCTGGGGTTTCCAGCCTTGCCTGTAGAAGCATCGCAGCAGGTTCTCAACAAAATGCATCGGATTCTATCCAAGTCCTTTTACGAGAGTGTTGGTAGGCCGGTGTGATTACAGACTCAGAGACGTATCTAGGCAAAGGTAGTCCGAGATCTTAACCAGTTGTATGCCCCCTTGCCTGAGAGTCCAATCATTGCTGTTCCGTTTGCAGGTCCCGCACAACCTCGAGCTGCCCGTCAGTCGTGTCAGGCTGCAACTGGTGCGGTGCTAATCCTGGTATCTACTTCGCCTTATTCACTGCTTAGGTTCTACGCACATGTGATAACCAAGAAGGTCGGCTCGTGCCGCAATACACGTTTCTGACGGTGAAGCGATCTTGTGCTTACTGGAACGCAGCGCGAAGCTTTTGAAGACTTTAAAGATGGTTAGCTCTGGAGCTAGTGTTCTTCTGCACCACAGGCATTTCTGGAAGGAGCTGGACCATGATGGAAGCGGGAAGGCCTGGGGCATGCTTTGCCCACTGAGACCTCGCAATATCTTGGACATTGGGAAGTGTTGCAGCAGAAGGCATGGAGCGGCCGCGCCCGCTCACCCGACTGCAACCTTGTTGCGCATGACTGCTGCCTCAGGCTGATTTCACTGAGTTTCTTCCATGGTGGCTGAAGTACTTCCACAACAAGGCCACTAGTGCACCGGAGCCAGTACAAGCTCTCCAAGAACTGTAGTTGACCTCTGCAGGAGGGTCGCAAGATGCTGGTGAAGCCATTCGAGGACTGACATTCCTGGCATGCTTCACAACATCAATGGGTCCCGGGGTAACGTGAAAAGAGCTAGCACATGCTCCACTGAGGACTTCTACCGGAATGTGCGCAACCTGAAAAATCCAGATCCGCCACCATACAGGGAAGGCAAAAAGGTGGTGCTGGGGCCCTGGCAGCTAAAAAGTTTATAGGCTGGGCCCGTCTTGAGGGTTCGCGGATGGTCATAAGATGTTACACGTGGCTCCATTGATTCGTCCTCCAGTCAGGTCATGGTTATTTACATACTGCGCAAGTATGGTTTCACTCCCACGTATCACTATCCGTGAACCTTGAAGTAATGTGCTCAGCATTCTGCAGTAGTTGATCTTGCTACGACTGTTGGGATTATAATTGACTTCCTCATTCCTGACAAAACTTTTACACAAGCAGTTCCTCAAGACCTTTGACCTTTTCTTGGACACCGTAGGTGAAGCATCCCATGCCTCTTGGTAAAAAAGGGGCGACTTCCCTTTTTCAGGATGATTTTGATATGGTAGTTTCCCGAAATTAGGGTACCCCAATATAGACCCCAATATACTATAGTCCTTATTCTTAAAGGTACCCCTAATTTTGGGAAACCCCCCATTTGACTGAGGTCCGCAGCACCCACAGGCTCCTCAAGCCAGCACCACATGCACCACGACCTCCAGAGGGACCGCGGGGAATTTCTGTTCAACTTCCAGGTATAATCCTGCTGGGCCTATGTAGGGATAATGGAAACGGGAAATACAACATTGTAATGGGGTACATATTTGGGTCCAGCAAGCAGATGGTGGTGACTGTTGAATGGGACGAAGATTCGATTTCCTGATGACTTCTACACCTTCTAGGGGTCGGACGCGCCAAAATGAAATCTCGGGGACCAGGCCTCAAATATCATGTTCATCAATTCTTCATCCAAGATTTGATGTTCGGATGTCCGTGGCTGTCCAGCTTTTTTTTCGCGCATGTTGTTGGCTCCGTTGGAAACGTGAACCCAAGAAATCTTATGTCAGTAGATGATCAGTTTGGGGTCATAGGCCGACATTTTTCTATTTCGGTGCACTGGGCAGCATCCCATGGTGATAGTGGGAGGCAGTTTCGACGGCAAGGACGACAAAGCCTGAGTCTCCCGCTGTGATAGTGGGAGGTGAGGGTTTGACGACAGACGAAAAGGCTTGAGTCTCTCGCTGTGATAGTGGGAGGCGAGGGTTTCGACGACAAAGACGACAAAGTCTGAGCTTTCCACTGTGATAGCGGGAGGCGAGGGCTGGCGACCACAACGCCTGAGGAGGCATTCCACAGTTTGTGTTGGCCATGTTCCTGAGGCCGTAGCCGAAACGATAATGTATGTATTCTCCTCTCATGTTCCCAGGAATTTATCCAGATAAACTCCTGGGCATGACCGCATAGTCCAACATGTATGCCCAACGCCTGTACGGAGCCTCCTGGCCCTTTCCATTGCCAGGCTGCCGAGGATGCCCTTTTTTGTTTTTAGATTCAACAAGCGGCACACTGCTCATATTAGGCCGTTCATGAAGCTTGGTTTTGCCAGCTGCAGGCATGGATGATTATTGCAAGCTGTACTTCCCGCTTGAGTTGGGCTGTTGACCCCCCCCCTTTTGCTTCCACATCGAGTAACTGAGTAAGTTTTGAGTAGTCGCTAATTTCTCGTGAGAAGCTTGCTGCAGGATCTCAGCGGGTTTTCTCGAGGCTCTCGCGGCACCATGCTCACATCCTGTTATCCATCGGAGCCACAGCGGTAGGTTCATGTTGTCCGTTGTGCACAGAGGCTGTGAGCACAAACATCTCCGGAACTTCTGTAAAGGCTATTCCTAGGGCCTCGAGATACGAGACTCCGAACATCGTCGCAAAGGTCTCCAGAAGCCTGATCAGAATACTTATACAAATCTGCTCTATCCAGTTTTCTCATGATGAAGAAAGAGCTACTATCAGAAAGCTTGCAGGTGTTTCCATCGGATCTGTGGGCTTGACGTCCATGGCGCTGGGGCGTCAGATCTCCACAGCATCTGGCGCTGGAGCTGGCCTGGCGAGCCAAGGGTTGTTGGCTCTGTAAGTTTGATCACATTGCGCAACGTGCTGGTCAGACCACTTTGCAAACCATTTTCAACACTTCAAGTACTAGATTCTGTTCCCAGAACATTGCGCAGATCTCGCACTCCGTTTTCAAATGTTTTCATTTTGAAGGCTGCGGGTGATCTAAAATGCTTCTCCGAAGTTGCAGAAGCTGCGTCTGCCCCGCATGGTCTCAAACAAGGCAGCGTCTTAAAATCAGCTACATGAACATGTTGAAGTCCTCCCAGAACCAAAAGAGCCTGGAGACGTAGGGGCTTGCACTGAAGCTGCTCTACATAAGAAGGCATGTCCAAGTCCTACAGTCAGCAACTATTACGTCCTTGCAGACGAACTTCTTCAAAAAGGGCTTCTAATTGCAATCGCTCGCACGCGTCCTCCTTGGCAGAAAAAGTAAGAAAATCAGGCAGAATCCTGGGGTCCAGAAAACTAGCGTCATGGAAGGGTAATGTTGGAGCTTGATGAGTGTGAGCCTCCCCCACCCCCCTCACCCCAAACAAAAAGGGGAGCCTCGATAATCACAAGGCCTCAAAACGAGTTGTGTCTGGAGGATCCTATGGCTCCGATGAAATCCATAAGGGGCCAGGGATCCTTCGGCTTCTATTGAAGTGATAGGGACTTGCTCAGTTTGGCTTTCAAGAGAATAGGAAGGGCAGGGTCCTCGGCCTTTACGTAAAAGGCCTGGCCTTGAACGCCTATTAAAATCAATTACAAACTGCAATTGCAATGTAGTTAATACCATAGAAAGTCTATTCAAATTCAATTAAAACCAATTTGAAATGGAATTCGACAAGTTAAAAGCAAATTAGAATTGCCTCCCCGAATTGTTTAGATTATTGAGGATCAGGGGCTCTCTGGACTACCCCCTTTGGAACTTGATTGCCTAGCCTGTTTGAATCAGTGGTTTAACAAGAAATCGATTGTTGGTAGTGGCATCAACCTCCAGATTCGAGAGGCAATAGAGCCTCTCCTTTTCATTTGATTAAAGACCTGGCTTTGCAACCAAAAGCGTTTTGGACTTTTTTACGGCAGCATTTTCTGCAAACCTGACTTTATTGGGGCACCCCGCACTATCCATCATTCAACATTACGGGTATTTGCGGAACCCAAGGGGCTGGTTGGGGGGGGCCGAGGGTGACATTAATTTTGGGGTGGTTGGAGAGGAGGAGAATTAGAAGGCTGGATACTGGTCAGCTTGTTCCAGACGCCTGTCGGCTAGAGGCTGAGGCGAAGTGATTACTTTCGCGATTTGGATTTTGTAGTTACGTGGGATTTGTTTCAATTTGAGATCAACTTTGCCCATTGCAAAACAGGGCTTCGAAAAGCCAAGCACGATCCATGCAAACCCCAATATGATGCCAAAAAGGAGACCAAGGCAAGCAAACGGCACCCGCAAGCTTGATCGCCTGTTGGTGTCACATGTGTCACGTTCAAGTCCTGGCATGTGCGTCAGGGCCATCTCAGGATCAAAAAGGGGGGCAGTGCTCAAGCCTAAAGATCCTTGCCGATTTCTGTTGTGGTCTATTCTTGTTATCGTTTAAGCTTGCCATGGCTATGCTCCATTCTTGAAAAGTCTTCCAGCTAGTTCTTTAGCGGGGCTAGGGTCCAGTCAGACTACTGTATAGGTTCCGCAACATCAAGGTTCATGAAGGGCATGTGGATCAGGCTTTGTATGTTGTGCGTTTAGTTTCGGAGTTCGCGGACGCAGCGGAGGAACCAGGATTGAAATCAACAAGCTGACTTCTGGTTGAGCATCTACAAGTCATCTTTCCTGAACAGCGTGCTACAGTGCTAGAGCTAAAGGAATTTGCAAGGCGGGTGGGGAAGTACAGTCAGCTGTATTTTGGGTGTCGGAATCTTGCCAGGGTGGAGGAGATGAAGTCAAGATTGATGACGTGATAGGACCCCTTATGAACTTGAAATTCAGGATTTAAAAGAGAACACGCCTGTCTCGGTCATATGGGGGAAGATCCATCTATTCAGAAAGGAAAATTTGGTGCATTTCCTCGCAGCTTGATCGCACACGACCTTGTTCCAGTAGAAATGCGAAGGTGAAAGACGAGCCCGAATTTCCCAAAAGCATTGCACTAATCACGACTTTCCATCCAAACACAGTAGGTCATTAAGTCGCGAAACGTTGTAGGCTGCTAGTGGTAGCCCGACGCAACTGCGTGAATGCTCCTAGAACCTAGACTGCTTGTCCACTGGATGGCACTTGCGCTGCAGCAGTTTAGCAATTTGGGCAAATTGGGTCAAGACCACATCATCTCATTTCCCGCTTTAGCCTGGTCCTCAGAGACATCGAGGGTTAACTTGTGGTCTAACGTTTAGGATTACACAAGGGCTGTGTGGTATGTGTGGGATCAGACGTGGACTGTGCACGGATGATATTTTGGGATTGATCTTGTAAGGTGCCCACCCTCAGAAGTACTGCGTCGGAAGGGCCCCCCTCCAAACAAAGGCATCCACGTGTGATGCCGTCAGCTCCCGACCGAACGTGTTGAGTTTGGATGTATCCTTCGATTCTTTCTTTCAGGGCCCTGAGGTGCAGAATGGATCTGGATTTGAAGGCTAAAGTTGGGTCAGTCAGTATGAAGGGGGTGGTAACAATGGATTTCCCCTGGTCAGCGAAATCCTGAGATTTAGAATTTCAGTTTCACTTTGATTGCAAACCTATGTTTTGCTTGCTATGCCCTATGCACATATTGGGCGGTCAGGGGGTCATTTTAGAAAGGGGCAGTAAACATATGATCCATATAATATGATCCATATAAGAGTGACCCCGCCAAGTCATTGCTCAAACTTAAGCTGTGGGTTGGACAGACATTCAATCTTTTAGGGTCCAGGTTCGCAGGTCTGGACGAAACTGTGATGAAGCTGGAGCAGGAGCAACTACAGCAGTGTGTTCATGTCTGTGTAGAGCCGGTTGGCATCCAGATATGGCAGAGTTTCGAGGAGTATAAGAAGTGCCACGGTGCTTGAACATCATGGGCAAGGTGTCCTTGACCCCTATACCCTAAACGCTAGCAGACGTCATTCCCTCATATCTGGATCTTTGCCATCCTGGCTTGAAGACTGG